CATATTTTTTTCTGTTAATGTACAAATATTTTTCCGATGTGTTTTGGATATTCCTTCTCTAATAAAAAGAGATACCATTTTGTTTTCGGTTGTACAAGAAAGAAGATCAAGCATTTTTCTTTTTTAAATTTAATAAGCCACATTAAAGAAGGAACGTTGCAATGCTACACGCTACATTAACGACGTCTCCAGAGTAACTGAATGATGGTTCATAGAGAAATCGCAGGTATGCGTCTCATACAACAACGCCCCCTATAGTTCGTTCCGATCGCGAATATGGCTCTTTGAAGGCGAAAAAGCATAGATTTTCTTACAAAATGACTGATAACTAAAAAACTAATCTAAATTTTTGAAAAAGAAAAAGAAAAAAATTACTTCTTCATTATGTCAAAACACAATTATGTGCCGAGTTTCGTGCGAGGCTTCTGGGGCGATATATTGTGATTACAGACACACACGCAACCGCGTTTATTATTATGTATAGATGATTCCACGCAACGAAATATTTTTACTAAATCTTTTTATTTATTAATGGTAGAAAATTTTTTTGATTTCTTAAAACAATTTTTATATCTTTTTAAAGAAGGTAATTTTATAGGACAAAATACGAAATTTGCGCGCAGTCCATCGAGCCATTTTTGATTTATCAAACTTTTAAAAAGTCATACATTCAAAATTTGATTTCACGAGAACTATTGAGTCAATTGCGTTCATTTTTTGTATTTTTGTCTTATAAAAATTGAATAATTTAAAAAGATGTTAAATAGTGTATGCCTTCACAATTCAAAATTCCTCCCATCATTTTTAAATAAATGTAGTTATTAAAAATGATTTTTTTTTTTTGCTTGCAATTTTACTCTGGATTAATGAATTTAAAGATATGAGTAAAAAATTTTGGAACCGCTAAAGAAAATTCTCGAAATACGGCGAAATACGCAAACATTTAAATTAAGAGCATTCGACCGTCCGTCTCAGATGGGGAGGAGATTGACGCCTTCTTCCTATTTTGAGATGAGAGATACAAATCGGTCGAAAAAAGCATGTAGTATATTCAGAGAAAGTATCCTTTTGTGTCATGGCTTAAAAAATCGTCTCTACGCTAATTAATTTGCACAGTTGAGATCAAACCCACGAACCATTGACGATTCGATTATTAGAATAAAAGTTATTCAGGATGGTCTGCTTTTTATTTTGAGGACTGTCGTGGTGACAGTCATGTATCGACAACCTTCATCTATGAAAAGGTACCCCCCTCCATAGAATTGAGTGTCTTATATACTCTAGTAAATTGGAATTATATTTCGGTAGTGGTACACACACTACTGTACTCCCCCTTCAGAATTATAGCTGTGATAGAATATTCGATGAACGGATACCACTAGTGGATTCGTTGTTGTTCTGTGAGAAGCGGGGAGAGCTGTATTAAGATCACCCTACTTTTGAATGCTGAATTCAAAATTCTGAATCTAACAGTCCCTGACCAAATTATTAGACGCGCTACAAGATTCCATGTAAAATCTTAAATTATCACGTGATACAGTTTTAGTGTTCTCACGTGACTGTCTGCATATGTTTACGTTCGTGTATCAATCGCTAAAATTTGATGATATATAATATAACTATTGGATAAATTAGACTATACATTGCATAAATATAGAATATTTATTGCATCAAGTATTGTATTAGTATATTATAATAATTATACCAAATGATGAGACGCACTGCATTTTTTTAATAATTAAATGTTTTGCATGAGTTTGCATGTAATACTTTCATATTTAAGCACACATGTATTTTTTTTTTAAAAATTTTAAAGTCGAGTTATTTGTTTAAAGCTATGTTAATTTATAGAATAATATATATTATAATTTCGATGTTTTCATATAGATGTCTAAATTTATGATATATATTATTCAATTAATGTAGAACATTTGTCGAAAAAAATATATTTGTATTTTATTCTATAAATATTATTCCTAACATTTGCAAAATAATATTATTCGAAGAAAGTTTATATATTTTAAGCTAAATTATTTAAACTATCTAACACAGCAGAAAAATAATTTACTTTTTAAAGTTTTTCAGCTTCTTGATAAAGATAAAATATAATAAAAAGAGTATTTTTTTTAAAAAAAATTATGCTGCTTCCAGATTTACAATAAAAGAAGCTCTTATTTTATTCTTTGTTGCACGAACAGACATTATGTGTAAGAGCTGATTTCCAAGGTTAGCTAAAATGTAATTGGAGAAAGATTTTTTTTAAAAGCTCACGATAATCTAAAATTACTTAGAAATAGCATTAAGTTTATTCTTTTTATAATCATCAATGGTTCGAAAGTCCAGGATAAGCCTTGGCCTTCTGGGGAAGTTTTCTCCAGGCTAACGTTTTTCCTGCTACTGTTTTCTAGTTTTTAGTTTTTAAGACCAAAATGTCTTTTTCTATTCATCTCAAATTCGGCCTGCCTCTTTTTCGTGTGCCAACTGGTCAGGCATTTAAAATCTGCCCATTTTATTCTTTGTCGTTTAATAAAGTTTATAATGTCAGCCTTTCTCTCAGAGGTACTTAACATAGCCTCATCCGTACAAGACAGAGTCACAAGCGTATGTTAAAATGGATCTTAAAAGAGATTTATATAGTAAAACTTGTGTTTTTCTACGAATTACATCGGATTTTATGTGTTTTCGAATTCCATTAAAGCATTTATTGCCTATAGTTTGTTCTTCTTTGTATTTCCATTGTAATATTGTTCCTGTTGTTGATGACAGGAAACGAAAAATTATATTCTTCAATTTCTAAGCGGTTTTGTTCTCTTTATAAAACCTAATATTTTCGTTGTTATACTTTCAGGGTCAAGCTACACACGCTTGGTTACCTAACGTGGTCTACGGTCTCTTAGCCATTAGCAGTGGACTTCTGGCTCTTCTTTTGCCAGAAACAAAGGATAAGAAAATGCCCGATACTCTGGAAGAAGCAGCTGAGTAAGCTTCCTCTCTAAATTAAAACTATCCGGAATGGTTCTTAAAAGTGGTTGAACCTTTTATAAACGGTGTTTCCTCACTCTCCGTTACCATGGATTCAGCCAACTATTCTCTTTTTTTCCATGGCAGTAGATTTTCATAAGAATATACTGACGTGGGATAATATCTGTCGATGCCAAAGAATAAAGCTGGTTCAGGTATAAGAAGAGTGCTTTATTTTATTCCATAAGAAGGAATCCATATTGTAAGGATTCATTGCTTAACCTTGTTATTTTGAACTGAACTCAAATTCCTGAATGAAATGATGAGTCATTTTCGTAGAATTTCATTTAGTAAAACTAACCTTCGGAGATAAAAAAAAATCCCTATTTTATTTAATAAGCATAAATCTGCATTATTTTTAACGCAAGCAAAATCTTCCTATTCTGTAGGAGCGAGGAAAATCTCCCACGGTTAGCCTGGCGGACACATAATCCGATGAGGATAGTTTAGGTGCAAGCCGGATGACCTCACAGGATGGCTCTATCACAGTTCATACTTTTTCTTTTCTTGTGCTTAACAAACTTTTGATGATATAGTATTGTTCGACAGCACCTCCCATAAAAGGTGAAAAAGAATTAAAAGAAATATCGCTTGATAATTTTTACAGCTTCTACGCACTTTTCCTCAAAAATTTCAAAGCAATTTATTATGGTCCTTTAAAACTACACATTTGACAATTTTTAGATTTTTTCAAAAATTTAATTTAATTACAATTTAATGAAAACCAATTTGGGTGATGCTAAAAATTTCTTTCACGCACACCGAATAAGTTAATCATTATTTATTGGTGCTTTCAAAATAAATTTTTCTTTTTCAGAAAAGAAGTAAAGCCAGATGAACTAGTGCCTTTACGTCAGAATTCCTTGAAGTGATTCATGACAGAATTATTAAAGGTGGAATTAAATTTTGAAATCCTATGATGTGTGCACGTTAGCATTTATAGAAAATTCATTAGATGAAAAAAGTATCTCTTGTTTAACGCATCATTTAAAGAACCCTGCTTTTGTTGATTTGGCAGCTACTGGTAAATAAATCTACTTAAAAGTTTTTTTTTCTTTCCAAATAATCTTGTTGTGGTTTTATTTTTAATAGTTTTTAAAGTGACATAAAATTATTTTCAAAAAGACAATGGTTCATTGTTTAAAAGCTTTTATTTGTAAATTAAAATCGACAATAATTTTCCCACTCTCCTCTTCCTAACTCTCCTCCACTCTCCTCTCCTCTCACGCGATTATATTCTAACTTCTGACTAAAATCTATAAGCATGGGAAAAAAAGAAAAAAAAAACGAAAAGTTTGCTGAATCCATGGTAACGGAGAATGGGGAGACGCCTAGTCAAATGCTTTTTTCTCGAAGCTACATTTTTCAGGTCAGCGGATCTCGAACAAATCATGGCCAACTGACTGTATTTTAAAGGCTTCATTAATTACAAACAGATGGTTTTATTTAATCACATAAAAAAAAATTTTATTTGTTATAATATCTGGCAAATTTTTGAGGAAATCTAGATTTTTGTGGTTCACTAGAGGTAAAATAGAGGAATTTCTTCTGAACTTTTATTCCTTCCACGTTCTTATTATAACATGCTTATTTTTTCTAGGTGTGAGGGCGCCTTTTTTTTTTTTTTTAACTGCGGTCCGAAAACATTTAAGGCATGTTCTGGAAAAAAAATTACAAGACTGTGTAAAGAATGAAAATTCAGAAAAAAATTTCTCCGTCATACCTCCAGTGAACTGCAAAAATTAAAATTCGCTAGACATTTATTCGTAACAAAAAAAAAGAAAAAGAAAAAGAAAAAAAAAGACTACGCAATCAAGCCATTCATTTGTAATTAGCATAATTTTAAAAATGCAGTCAATTGGTAAAGATTTGCTTGAGATCAACTGAGAAACGCTTTTAAAATGCACTCTAAAAAGAGTGGCTATACAAAAATTCAACGTTAATTTTCTTGCATGCATCCCATAAAATTTTTGAAGCATCTTTTCGGAAGAAAAAATAAATATATTTTAAAAATACGGTTTTTCTATAGTCAAGTAGAATCTTTAGTTTATTGGAATCCGTACTGATCTCTATAAGAAATTTAAACTAAAATGAATGATAAAAAAAAAGGACACGATTATGACTATTCTGTGACAAAAGAACACCTATTTTATCGATTGCTGGTTCGGGAGACCATTGACAATTATCGGACCACCTGCTTAAAGTTTCATGAAATTTGTATAGAGTGAAGGGGGGGTAGCGGTGGTGAACGGGGTGATATATATATCTTCAGCAAATATCGATATTTTACGATATATTTCTATTGAACCGAATTATATTACTTATACATTAAACAATAATTTCGTTTCTCAATTGAAGAAAAAAAAAACATTTTTTGGGCGTTTTCTTTAACAAATTTATTAATTAATATTTGAAAAAAATCGTTGCAAAAATATAGGAACAAAGCTAGGAAATCATTTTGTAACTTATCCGCTGGAAAGAAATGTTTATTAAACTTGATCTCTAGACCAGAGAGTAAATAGCTTTAAAAGTAAATGAGTTTAAAATTTCCTACGGAAAGATATAGAGACTATATCTTTTCATTTTATTTTACCGGCTTTTTATTATATATACATTTTTGTTATACTTTTTTTTAAATATTTTAAGAATTCAAAATGAAGATAAAACAAAGAAATTACAGATATATGAAAAAAAGGGGGGGAAATAAAAATAAGATTAAAAATAAAATAACAAGGAACTGGAAAAAAATAATAATAATAAAAATCCGAAAAAAAAGGATAAATTTTTTTTTTAAGAATCCGGAAAATAAGAGATATAATCTTTTCATCACCCCACACTATTATATCCGCAAAAAAGAGTGCTTTTTAATATTGTATCAATATAGCCAAAGCAAAATATATCAATACAATAGCGTGAGGAGCACTTAAAAATTTTTTTACAAAAATTGCAACAAATAAATAAAATAGAACACAATAATTTAATCGTGTGGGCTGATGTAAAGATTATATCTTTTATTTTCCAGATTTTTAAATATATATATATA